ACAATTGAAAGTCATTTGACTACCCACTGAGCACTTGTAGGATGCCATGCCATGCTGCTGCCAAGCAGCATCCAGCCCATCTCCCTCCTGATCTCCTCTGGCCTTGACTGTTCTCTTGTGGGACTCAAGGATGACCTGCTTCCTCAGCCACAATCCACAAAGTTTGCCAAGTGTCTGATTGCCAAAACCAGGTGAGGTTTGGAGCCACAGTCTACTGAACCTACAACAGGCTCCAGGTTCCACTCTGGTCCAATAGTTATACTTGGTCATGTTCCAATATGGTCCACTAATACTTAATAGCTACTTTGTCAGTAAGGATTAGTGAGTAGTCAGATCCAGTTGTAAATGAAGTCACCTTTGACATGCCATGCCTGATCATTAATAGATGACATGATACTTCAGCAAGGGTTCAGATCTCCCCTGGTCCTCACCAGCAAGTCCTTGATGGATGTTCTGGGACCCAACTTGGTCTGAATCCACATCAATTGATCCAGGTCTTGATCAGTGAGGCCACTGGTGAGGCCTTGGGTGAGTACAGCCAGCCCAGCTGCAAGTCAGATCAAGTCTAAAAACCTTGCCTAATAATAGTAGCCTTAGTAGGCTGTCTTTCAAGATCATAATATGATTGGTGCTGTTCAAAGCTCTTCAACACACTCAACTGCACCCCACCCCCACATAATGCATCATCTGACCCTGACAAAGTTTACAAATTATGGCTGAGATGCTTGTACCAAACCTCTCTGCATCAAAGAGCTTCAAAAAGCGAACCTTGTTCTTCCTGGGCACTGTATTCTTCCTGGTTCCTGCCTTCATCTCACCAGTCAGTGCACCAGAAGAAGAGATCACTGGAGTGTATTCAGGGCCCAGGTGCACCCAATGCCTGGGCAAGCAGCCAATGAATGGGCAAATCCCAATTGAGGAAACCCATGAACTTACTCCCACTCTCATTGATTTCTTCAATCATTCTTTGCAATGATAACAAACTCTCATTAGTGTGATTAGGCAAGTGGCTTTGGAATTCTCATCTTGTCCACCTCTCCCTCAGGCAGCCCATCTGATGAGGTGCTTTCTGAACCTTACCAGCAGTAAGCACACACACACACTGGTTGTATTCTCTCTCTCTCTCTCTCTTTCACACATGTCAGGCAAACAAACATGAAGATGCAACAGCCTCATCAGTCTACTGATTGATTGACTCATGCCCATCATTCTAACTTCAAATGAATTGAACCTAGGCACCCTCTGAAGAATTGTCCTTTTTGTCTTTCTTTCCACCCTTACTGTTCCTTTTCTTTTTCTTGCTTTTGTCCTTGGACTGCTTCTTGTGCTTGCTGCTCTTTGCCTTCTTTTTGGAAGTCCTTACAGGCTCAGGAGTGGAAACTGCACAAGTGGTGATCTGAGAGTGAGAGCCTGAGTAACTTAATTGTCTGACCTTTCACAACTAAGTAGCTAGAGTTACTTACTCTGATTAAATTGACATTTCAACATGGACACCAGAAATGCTGCCCAAAGTCGAGCTGGATTCTGATTCAGATGATTCATCCTGATCTGGCTCCATCTCATCATTGTCAGGCATCATCATTTGTTGCCTGGGAGCCATCATCCCCATGCCCATTGAGCCTCCAGTTCCCATCATCATGGGATTGGGCATCATGGAACCAGCCTGGGAGAGTGCCATGGCCTTCTATGTAGGGGTGCCTGTAATCAGCTGGCAAGCTGCACTTACCAGGCACCCCCTTCCTCTTGCGCTGGGGCATGCTATGAAAGCCAGGGCCAGGCCTGAGCCTGGATCAAAAAGGCTACAGGCCAGGCCAATGAACCACACAATTCCCAATGAAATCCCTTCTGAATCCCAGTTAAATCCCACAGCACTTTTTATGGAAAAACTTCAGTATTTTGCGGTATTCAATACAACACTACAAGGCTTGAAGAAGCACCCTCTGAAGCAACATAGCTTGCACTTCTTAGACAGTTTGGCCCAACCCTTTCTGTCACGACGAAGTGAACAAGTTCATAAGCTGTTATCATGCACTTACGGAACAAATACATAATACAAAAGACCCCACAGTCGATCTGGGAAAAGTCAGTGATGAAATGCATGTAGCTCTTAGAGAATCTACAGAAGAAGGAAAGTCGTCTCTGGAATAGGAAGAAGTGAGTTCCTGTGTCAACCAACAAAGGGCCGAAAGAAGAACATCTACATTGGATTCAGTTTGATTTACATGTGCCTGGAAGCCTTATCAAGAGTGCTGTGGCTCGTTTGAATACATTGTTTCCTCTGGCCTGAAACGAAGCATTTCAACAGTCGTGTGACTCATGAACAAGTACTGTAGGCTGTAGGATACTGGACAACAAAGAGTCAACCATTGACTTCAGGAATGCTTTGCGACCTCAGTGTTTCAATGCTCGTTATAGTTTGGCCTGGGCTCAAAGCCATCTGCAGAGCGAAACGGTTCATAGCGGAAGCATTGATATCCTGGAGCATAGACCGAAGTCTCAACGCCTTCGCTTCGCATCCATACTTCACAGCCCCACTGATTGAACTCAATACCAACGCAGCCAGGCGTAAAAATGCACCGCATTTCGCAAGCCTCCAATGTTCTCACTTCAGAGATACTGTGGAAAATCCAGTGGGCTTCAGAATTGTCGCTTTCGTTGGCCCCGCGGCATGCACGATGCAAACCTCCATCTACCGGATCAAAAGCCGAAGCAAAGCGCAACGGATCTGGACTTCCAAAACGGAGGCAAGTTGATCCAACATGTGGTACTGTCGTGCCGATTCCTTCAGGTTTCAACCAAACCCGGCAACCGATGCCTTCTTGTTGATTGAACTCAACTCCGCGGCAACCAGGAGTTTCTACACATTTGGACCTACATTCTTCCAGGGACATGACTTCAGACTTGCTGAACGATGTGTAGTGTAGACTGGAGTCATCAAAAATATGCGCTCCTCTGCATGATTGGTCCTGTCCCCCATTGATATCAATGAAAGGTTCGAAGCGCAAGCATGTGCTTCCCTCTCTTGCTGTAGATCCATGAATGCCAACTGTCCAAACCACACATCCGCTTTCATTGAATGAAATCCCTTTGCAAGTCGAGCTCGAGTCGGCTCGAGCAGCACACTTCTGCTTGCAGCTCTGAAGAGACGGAGTTTCTTGAGCCTGGTAGAAGATGAAACTGTTCGGCAAACCGCCCCCATCACTGCATGCTCGGTTGGTGCCTCCATCCACTGTCTGAAATGGTTCATATGTCAGGCAAACGGAACCTTTCTCCGATACGCTTGAGAGAATTCCACCTTCCCTCGTCCACACTTGACATCCAGAGTCACTGAAATCTATACCTCTGCAGCCTGGTGTAGAGACACAAAGGGTCTTGCATTCTTCCAAGGATCTTGCCCGAGCTGGTCCAAATAGAATGTAGTAACTTGGATCGCGATCTGCATCGTCCTCGCCACGGCAGGACCGATCTTGTCCACCATGGAAATACACGAAGGAATCGATAGCCGGTGCCATTCGGCTCAAGCTCATGCAAAGCGCACCCATCTTTGGAACTGTCGTGCCAATGCCACCAGAACGGTGCCATACCTTGCAGCGGCCAGATTCATATTCAATCCCCTTGCAATTCCAGGTGCTCAAACATGAATCCTTACATTCAGCGAGGGACATCAAGGTCTTCGTGACATTTGCGTCTGGGACTGCAGCGAGGGTGTAATAGCTCTCCCAGTTGTCAGAAGGCTTGGCACCTCGACATGCTCGATGAATTCCACCATCAACAAAGAGGAACGGTTCATATCGCAAACATGAAGCTCCTGAAGATGGAGCTACGGCACCAATGCCATGGGGTCGAGTCCAAATCTCACACCATCCATTGGCTCGATATTCAACACCTTTGCAGGAGGGAGTTTCAAGGCAAAGGTTTTGACAGGCTTCCAAATTGGGCGTTTCCTCAGGTGACTTCAGGAAGTAGTAATCAGTTGTGGAGTCAGTGAGATTGCTTCCTCGACACACTCGATCGCCAAAACCATCCAATGGTTGAAAGGGTTCGTAACGCATACAAATGCGCCCTGAAGCAAAGACAAAACTCTGAATCTTTGTCATCCAAACTTCGCAGCCACCCATCCGAAATTCAATGCCTTGGCACCCTGGGGTGCGAACCTCAGCACAAAAGTAGCTGATTCTACCGCTTGTTCTTGATGTTTTCTCTCTATTACCCCCAAGTGTTCAACACAAACTGTACACAGCTGGTAATCTTAATTTTTGTGTAAGGTACAAGTTTGCTTGTAGAGTAAAATCCGCTGTTGTTGCCATAGAGCAATGCAACGCTGCCGACGATAGGTGCACTATGGTGCACTCGTTTTGTTGCAAGAAAGTTTTGTTGTAGATCCATTGTGTCGTTCCAAATTCCAAAAGTTTGGAGCACACCAGACGTATTGCATCATCTTCTGATTACCCTTAATCGACAAGACTGACTTGCGTCAAAGGTGTGCGAGAGAACACTGGTCGCAGCGGTATAAGTATGACTATCACTATATGACCGCGATTGAGATGCAGAAAGAAACTCCGCACATACTCGTGATGGTTGCAGAATCATCTATGAGAAGCTGCACAAGCAGGTCAGCCGACGCACAAGTTGGCAATCACGGATTGCAGCCGTGAGCGACTTGCCAGATCCCTCCGCACTGCATCAAGACCGCATGCCACTAACCCCGAGGGGAGGACGAGGCAAAGAGAAGGGATAGAACGGGCACCCAACAACATGGTCCCGGCGTTTACATGGAATTGTGAAAATTATTGCGAAAGAAGTGTAGTTCAAAATCGGTGTTTTTTATCTTTGTTCACAATCTGGCGCTGTTTTTTCTGTGTTCGTGCACAAACCGGCGGGAAACGTCGTTTTTCACACGCGGCACTTCACAGCTCCGATCCGAAAAACGGCGCCACGGCGATCCTGTTTGAACGGATCCTTTCTTCCGCTTTCGGCTTCGGACGATGAACTGAGAGAGCTGAGACAGCTGAGGGCCAAAGGCACAAAACATGCTGCGTCCGAACACCTCAAAAAGTCGGGCGCGAACTGATTCTAGGTGCACGAGTTTTAACTCAAAAGAAGATAAGTCAATTTCACTTGGCAGCCTCAACAGCATAAGTTCTATCAGTCTATTTTTGATAACCAGCCTCTTGGTAATTTTTAGCGGTGCAAACTTGGAGTGATCCAGGTCCAGTGTCGCCGCACTGGTGCAACTCGAGTGCGCTCACGACCCCCAATCCGCCGTTTGCCACCGGCCCGGCACTTCAGATTCCACGCACGAGCCTCGCGCCCGTGATTTCTTGTAGTGCCGCAAGCGTTGGTGACAAGAACACGCGACAAACAATGTGACTCACCTTTGGTGGAAATGTACGTTACTACCTGCATTGACACCATGAGCAACTGTGACACGTCTACAACAGGGGCCACGCTGGTGCACCCGGAAGCACTGTCCTAGTGAACACTTGTCTCTGGAAGCTTTTATACCACCTCTAACTTTGGAATACTTTAGCCATACTTTTCATGTTTGTGCAGCCATGCGATTGCATTCTGAAATAATTCTCTGATTCCATTCCCAACAACATGAGCAACAAACCCCATCTGCCTTGACAATATGTCCTGAATTCTAAGAAACCAACGAATTGTCAGGAATCAAACCGCTTGCAGCTGTCGAAACAAAGTAAGCAAACACCGATTCCAGCGTCAGCTCTACATTCACTCGAATAAACATGCTTAAGACTAACATGTTTCTCTTTTGACACCACATGCTTCAAAACAGCAAGGCCCTGGCACATCTGTCTTGGCACGCACCAATGGAAGAATTCTCTGGCCATGCCCAGAATAAGGTAAAGTAACTGTCCAAGTTGTCTGTCTCATTCTCTCCACGGCATGCACGAGCCATCCCGCCATCAACTGGTTTAAAAGCTGATGCACTCGACCAATCTGCACCATATCTTAAACATATTGAGCCTTTCTTGCTTTCAATCTGAATGTCTCCATCCCAAACTTTGCACCCCAAGGCACCAAAGTCTATCGCTGTGCAACCAGCAGTCTCGATGCAGCGCACTTGGCACAGCTCCAACGAAGACACCTCTTGAAGAGTGTATGCATGAAAGTTGCCCGTTCCAACACAAGACTGGTCGGAACGAAGTCTCACTGGAGTGAACGGCATATAACGCAAGCACTTGCTTCCTGAAAGAGCAACACTTGCTTGAATGCCTTTGTCTCTTGTCCACAACTGACAGCCTGACTCGCCAAAGGATATGCCTTTACACCCAAAAACGGTCGTGCATTGGAGCTTACAGTCAAATAGGGAAGGAACAATTTGCTCATGCCACACATAGTTTGAAGAGTTGTCATCAGTGGAGTCAGAGCCACGACAAGCACGGTCTTCTCCTCCATCGATTGGTTCGAAGGCGTCATACACGAAGCAGCTTGAACCAGCCTGAACAAGTTATGAGCCTTCTGGCACAAGTAAACAGCAAAAGTAACTTCCAACCCGGCAGTGGGTTCGGTGTGTTTTCCTTACCGTTGTGTTCGCCGGACCCAGGCGAACTCTGTGAATCCTGATAATATAAAAGCAAGAAAACAAAAAATAAGCACAAATAAAACAGCAAAAGCAAAAAACAAAGCAAATCCAAAAAGCAAATGAAAAAAAAAAACACCATTTTCCACATTGGTATAAATGACCTTTTCACATTTTTTTTGCTTTTTTACTTGCCTATTGTTGTTCTGCATGTTTTCGTGTATTTGTTTTGAGCATTTTTTGGTTTTTGTTTTTATAGTTTTTTTTTAAACCCTTTTTTGTTTGCCTTTTGCTTTTTCATGTGCTTTGGTATTTTTGTTTTCGCTTTTTTGTTCGCTTGTTTTTTCGACTAATTATCGCTTTTGCTTTTTGTAGTTGCCTTTTGTTTCGCATTTTGTTTAAAGCTTTTTGTATTACTTGGAAAAACCATCAGAGACTCAGAGATAGCCTAAGTGGTTTTCTTAATCTTACCGATTTCCTTGCCTTGCACACTCTTTCGGCAACATGACACAACGCACGAACAAAAGGATAGCCCTTCGGATCCTGACTATGTGGCATCTACACATCTGAGGACACGTCATCTGAGCAAGGTTCGGCCTCAGGTGCTGAGCCCCGAATTTCCGTCCAAATTCTGCAGCCTAAAAAACCAAAATCGATGCCGCTGCATCCAGGAGTTGAAATGCACAAAGCTCGACACTCTTCCTCTGTACTCACCAGCTGTGGCCCGATGTAGTCAGGCGTTTTCTCACCTTCACATTTTTGGTTGACACCAAAAACTGCGTGGAAAGCACTTGAAGTCTCAGCCCAAGCTTTACGAAGGCACATTGAACCCGTGCTTGCAGCGGAAGAGCCAATGCCAGCACGGCGTGTCCAAACTTCGCAGCGACCGTCTCGATATTCAATGCCTTTGCAGCTTTCTTTGGCCATACAAAGGGATTTGCAATGATCTAGAGTCTTGACAAGATCTGGGCCATAGAGTTCATAGTAGCTACTCCAAGTGTCGGCGGGATGAGACCCTCGACAAGCACGGTTGGAACCACCATCAACCACAGCAAAGGGCTGGTATTTCAGGCATTGAGAACCAGGCAAATATGCTGTTGCCATGATTCCATCCGGGCGTGTCCAAACTTCACACCAGCCTCTGTACTCGATGCCCTGGCATCCTGGAGTGGCTGAACACAGATTCTGACATGCTTCCAAACTAGGAGCTTCAGAGGGGGAGTAGATGTCAAAGTATTCGTCAACCGAATCTGTTGCATTGCTTCCCCGGCAGACTCGGTCAGTGAAGCCATCAACTGACTGAAACGGCTCATATCGCATGCAAGTTCTACCAGCAGCCCACACCGATGCCTGAATTCCTCCTGACACCGTCCAAATCTCACAAGCTCCAAGTCGGAATTCGATCCCCTTGCATCCCAGAGTATTCAGGCAAAGATTCTGACAGGATGAGACAGATGAGTTCTCTGGCCATGCCAAGTGTACTGTATAGTGACTGTCCAGGTTATCGGTCTCGTTCACCCCACGGCATGCACGATCTTTCCCTCCATCAACTGGCTCGAAGGCACAGTCAGCTAGTAAACTGTCCAGCATCTGATACCGCAAACAAATAGAGCCAGGCTGATATTTTGAAAACTTGATCCCGTCGCTTCGCGTCCAGATCTTGCAATCTCCGCTTGAAAATGCAATGCCTTGACAAGTCGAATTGGACAAACACTGCAGCTTGCAGTCCTCCAGTGTAGAGGCTTCGGCTGACACAAA